TGGTTTCTGCCGCAATCTGCATCTGCTGAAGCTTGTTGGTCTGTTGTAAAGAATGGAGTAAACGTACTGTGTGACAAATTCGTGCCTCTTACGTGTCGGAAAGTTGAATCGGTCAAGCTACATTGGTTCGACAAGCAATATGGTAGGCTGGTTCGGTAACAGCGTAGGTTGTGGACGAATCAATGGCTCGGTCAACGACTATGAGGTGCATAAAAAACAGCGAAATATCTGCCATAATGAAAAGGAGAAAGCGTAGGCATAAAGAAGGACAGCTTGGAACCGCAGCAAAAAACCGACCCGAAAAGATCTTTGCGTCCATTAAGCGGCGCCTGAGGCCGACTGATAACCTCTCAGTGATAGAGGACGCGAACAGACAGCTCCTAAGCTCTAGCACTGAGCATGCATCCGTATCGGTGGCGCACTTTGTGTTTGCGAATGACCAGGTGTCTGTACCGATTTCGGCGTGCACCACTCTTAGCGAACTCGACAGTCTGGATTGCGGTGTGGAAAAGGTGCGTCAACAACTTGACAACCTTGACGGCATCAAGGCTGCTGGATCTGACGCGCTCCATCCGTGGATTGCCCCCTCCCTAGCCGGCATAATTTCGCCTGCCATGACTGACTTGTTCGATAGATCACTCCCCGAACGTTCGCTGCTAATTGATTGAAAGTGCGCGGTGGTAGGGAGGATTCCTGAAGGCGGTGACCACAGCAGACAACTACAGGCCAATTTGTTTGACATCTATTTTAGTTAAGATCGTGAAGAATGGTTCGTTAGAGCTTTTCCGATCAAAAGATCTGACGCCCGCACAGCACAGTTTCATGCTAGGTCGTTCATGCATCACTAACCTGCTCGTGACGAGGCATGAATGGTTGGAAGCAGTGAAACAGGGGAAGTCTGTCGACGTGATCTATGTCGATTTCAGCAAAGCGTTCGACAAGGTGAACCATGAAGTCCTGCTTTCCAAGCTGGAAGTGTGATGTGTTCGTGGTTCTGCACCAGTGGATCCAGGACTTTCGTGTTAGGCGAAGGTAAATGTGTGTCAGCTGTACGCCGCAACAGCGCTTCGATGACGCGCGACCACCACCACTCGTGTGCGTTCTGAGTATACAGCAAGGACGCCCATCCCTTTGCGGATCCGAACCGGTGACCTTATGGTTACAAACCAGGCGCGCAGACCACTCGACCACCGGATGATAAAAGTAGAGGGTACAAGTCGATAGCCAGTGGCGTACCGTCGGCCGGATGGTCTGCGTCGGCCGGTGGCCGAGTGGTATGCGCGTCTGGCTTGCAACCATAAGGTCACCGGTTCGAATCCGCGTAGGGCGGGCGTCCTCGCGGTATACTCAGCCCACGCGCGACTGGTAGTGGTCGCGCGGCAGCAAAGCGCCGTTACGGCGTACAGCTGGCAATTTACTTACGTTTACTTAGTGATGTACCACAAGGCACGGCAAGAGGGGCTACATTGTTCCTGATTTATATCAACGACCTACATGCTTCAGCGGTCACCGTATGTCCTGTTTGCGGACGACCTGGAGATGTGGAAAGTGATTAGCACATCTGACGACTGCGGCTTACTTCAACAAGACCTAAACCGCCCTTCCAGGTGGTCCGCAAGTCCACCTTCCGATCAACGCATTCAAACCCAGGGAAGGGTGTTGACAGCCGAACCTACACTCTCGATGGCCAACTGCTAAATCGCACACTTTCCGTGAAGGATCTAGGAGTACTCTCATGTTGCAATCGTAACGGACTGCGCATGCTCTGGGCGCTCAAAGTCAGTTTCTGCATCTGATCTGAAGTGATTGCCACTCGCCTCTTCTCCTCCATCATCAAAGCAACGCTAGAGTGCGGCTCCTCCGCCTATTGCCCGACTACTCGCGGCGAGGCGTAGAAGATTGGGCGGGTTCAATACGTCGCTATCAGGTTCATCCCCAGTTTGCGATACTTAACGTACGAGGACAGGTGCGAGAGGCTAGGACTGTACACTCTAGTCTATCATCGGTTGCGAGTCGACCACATCATGACCTACCGAGTTCCACATGTAAGCGACTTCCCCACACTCAAACCACTACACCACTTGCGAACGCCTTGCAGAACACGCGGACACCGGTATAAAGCTTGTGGTTTCAGATCTGAAGCGTGTTCCCCATCACCTGTGCTTGGGACGATGAGCGATAAATGCTTGGAACGGTTTGCCGGAACATATAGCGGAAGCAAACTCATTGCAGCACTTCAAACGACTGTTGGATGTGCATATCACAAATGCTAGATTCCGATAACGATTATCTACAGACACCCCACATTTTTGAGTCCTAATCTACTGTGCTAAACGATATTTCCAACAATATCACGTGAGGACGTGAAAACGATCAGAATATTGACAAGTCATAGTTTGCTCTTTTAATGCTTTTGATCATATTTCGATGGGGTTGTACAAATTCAAATTGCTCCCACATTACGGTATTCAAAAACAAAAATCAAAATGAATGATACCGGAATTTCTACAAAATAATTATGACTTGCCGATAAATCAACAAGAGAGTATTCTGGCAACGCAGTTACGGGATAAGCAACTGGGCGTCCCTAATGGAAGTGATCAGTTCCATACTCAGCTTCACATGGCAGCACATACTGTAGAGGAAAAAGTGCTCCTACTGTCCGATCTAGGTTGGAAATCAGCCTTCCCCCTTCATCCAGCGTTCCCATTTGGTAGTAAAAAAGCAGACAAGTATGGAGACCAGTAAGTTTATCAGTACCGGTGTCAGGCTGATAACCACATGATCAATGCACGCGTTATGAAGATCCTTATTGAATATCGTCACCATGACCCAAAAAGTTCACCTTACGGTGACGGTCTTCTATAAACAGTGAGACAATTGTGTCAATTTTCTGCTTTGGACTTACTGCCACTCTGAAATAGTGTCCAAACGGAAAGAAACCCAGGGTAATTGCGAAGCAGTTGAGGACCCGGATACAGTTTCGGGCATCAGTTCCTGTCTGAACCTTCAAGTTGACCAGTCATGGTTCAATTTGCGCTTCAGTCATTGCTAAAAACATTCCGCCCGATAAACTACTCGGACTTCCTTTCTGTGAATTACTGTGATGGTACTGGATTCGATTGTTTTAGTGACGGATGCGCTCATGGGACAAAGGGCAAAAATAAGTTAAAGAGCATACGGAATTTCCCTACTCACACAGCTTCGTCCATTTCGCGAGACGTCAAAATAAAGAGCACTGCCTTGTTAGCTCGGGCCCGATAGTACATCTGACGGCATAGTGCCGCAAGCAAAAGCCTCCATGTCATGCACGGCATCAGAAAGCTAATTACAACGAAATCCGATGCCCTCAAGGCAACTAAGGAGAGTTAAGTGATCGGAACATCGCTGCATGCCTATCTAACCGCGGGCCGATGTGGCTTTTCCAATATCAAATGAATAACGCGCCTGCATCACTTTGTGCTCAAGTTCGAGGAAAATACATCGGGTTTAACCAGAATCGACGCACGTTTTACAATGAGCAGCAGTAAGGTAAAAAGCATGTCACTTACAGCTCATGGTGAATCAATCAATATGGGCCAAAATGGCCACATGCCGAAGGATGTCAAATCGCGCAAAGGTGCCCGCTCTGCTCGAAGGCACGCAATGATCAGTATACACTTGCGACAAATGTTCACCATTGCCAATCGCCTCAGGATTAAGACAAAACATCCCACATAACTGAGGCCCCGGTTAACTTAGTTTGCCTATTTGCGTATTTTATTTCTTCGTAACCAAGGACAGCTGAGATGACAGAACTGCGTAAAGTCCAGAAAGATGAAAGTGAGCCTTCCTGCAGTACAATGGTTTTCATACCTCAGTAAACATACCGACCTCGTGGTTGTGTGTATCTTTGGCAGTATCAAGGTAGTGGTCGGTTGAAGGCGGCACTCAGGAACAAGTGGGATCTTGAATCACTTTGTGTGTTCGATCTAACTGGCATTGTCAAACGATCGTACACATGTGGCTGTTCGAGGAGATCCAACTAACGAGCAAGTCCTCTACATTGTGATAACGGTGCACACACAAGTTGCATTTTGGTTGCTGTATCAACTTTATAAACACATGCAACTGATCGCCAGAAGATAAGCTAGATGCAGTTAGTTCGATGATCACATGATCGTATGGATTCCGAGTTGGAAGACGTAAGAAACTTCAGCTCCAAATGCATCCAGTGTGCCTTCCAAGGCGGTCTGTTTAGCTACTTTGGATTATGAATATTGTGGATTGCCGGAGCACACTTGGGCACCGTGGTGAATAAGCGGAAACGGTGAATTGTCCACAGAACTGCAGCTGATGACACATAGTCCAGTGACCAAGAGATAAGGGTTTTTAGAGGAGGGGGGAGAGAATGAGAGAAACAAATGGAAAAATAAAGGATGTATAGGATGTTGCTTGTTCTCGTCCACCCGCCCTGCCGTATGCAGCAGATAGGGTAGCTCTTTTGGAATTGCGATGCGGCTGACGCAGAATGAGCCTGAAGTTTGATGAGAAAGTCGAGAATGTATGGGGCTTAGAATACAACCATGGTGATCAAACCTAGGAAGGGAAGTGAGTAGTTGTAAACAAAACTTTGGACTCGACAGCCCGGCCATGAGGCGGAAGAAGTATGGGAATAACTGGGGCTCATTCACAATCCAAAATTGTAGCAGTAGCTTCAGGGTACCCAAGGATGCAATGGCATGTAGTAGAACGTTAACTTTCAGCTAAATGGTTGTAGGCAGAAAAACGATCATAAGTAATGGTCCACCTGGCACGGAACTGCGAAAAGAACAAATTGTTTTCATACAGCGTGCGCTATGGGAAACCTACAGAGGTGAAGGCTTAAGAAATATGAAGAAATTTAAATATAACGACACATTCATGTAGCGCCAGAAATTGGATTATAGTGTTAAAATCCAGTGAGCAGTGAGAATCGAAAGTAAGAGAAGGAAGTTACACTTTTCCAAAAAATGACCCACCTTGCAGCCCTCACAAGTCAGGGCCCCAAAATGGAAGCCGGAAGATGGGCCACCGCACACGCGACAGGGTATTTGAGAGATATCACAACCAGATTCGCCACCAGGTGCTGAAAGAAAAGACCGAGAATAAAATGAAAATAGTAGGATAACTTCGGGGTTAAAAGAGGATGGTGGGGATGAGCGCGTTCCATGCTTTGGAACACAGGTTAGACATACCAAATGCGGGCAGTTTGGATAGCCCAACAGTCCCTTACCATCAAAATCACTCTAGACACTAGGTGCATCCCGCACAATCGTTATTTTACTAGTTAGTACAAAAATCGATAGGCTCGGATCACACGGATCACATAAACGTCGAGGGCCGCGATACAATAAACAAGCTTGCCCTATGTTTAGGAAGAACGGAAAATGCGCCACTACGCCGAGGAAAAGAAATTACGAGCAATGCTAATAAGTGACTGTTGGTCAACTTAATAAGCAATGAAAGTGGGCTGGCGCGAACAAGACTGTGATTTTAACAGACGGGATCTGCGGCAAATTGTTTCGTGTTTATGATGCACTCATGCAAGTGCGAATAGCCTGGCAGCAACCGGTAATCAAAAGAAATCCATGGGTTACTGATTTTGCAAAATCAGCCTTTACCTAAGCAAGATTTCAAACGTTATAAGGTAAATAGGATTAGATAGTCCATGAGACAAGTCCTGTTCACTGCACGCAGGACGAAAGCGTGGTAATGCAGAATAACTCACGAAGTATTCAGTCAAGGTTTTGTGTCAAAATAAGTGTGCTGATTGCGAAGAAGGGATTAAAAATAACCAATCAACATAACCTCTGGACGACGGATCACTTTCATGTCGGCTGAAGCGCTAAATTACTCCATGTAAGAAGCTGAGCTGTTTCATATCCTTCAGTTAGGTATACTGAAAGTCTACTGGAATGGTGCCGCTCTCAAAAGTGATCCGTTCGCCTTGAGACAGTTACTGGAAGCGATACAACCAACAACTGAATCGACAAAGGTGGAAAAAGTAACGAGGGTTGAAGTACCAAAGCAAAATGAATCCAACAGAGTTCCAATCATTTCGCTAAATACAGCTTCTGGTGATGGAAAGGAAATTAATACAGAAGGGAAACGGCCGGGAAACATGGTGTTCACTGGCCTAAACTGCTAGAGAAGCGGTCGAATGCATCGAACATAAAATGTGAACAAGACGACGAGAGTGGAGTTAAACGTAGTGTGGTAGCTTCTGTGCCTCAGTGAACCAATGAGCTATGCTGTGTAGTGCGTTCTGCACTTTCAGAGTCATACATACCAGATTTGTAAATGGTTAGAAGCAGACTAATTCAGTCTCTTGGCCCTCCAAATTAGAGGTTAGAGTAAAGGTGGCCCTGTACTCATTAAAATGAGTCGTGTCGCTCAGTGCCAAATCCCGCCATCTTGCAGCTATGCATGCTAACTTATCGTCAAACAATTTCTTAATTTCTCAGAGGATAATCCACGGGCCCCCTATCTGCTGTATCGGGCAGGGCAGACAGTGGTGAGCAGACTAATGCTCAGACTAATCGTCCTCTTAGTTTCACGCTAATGGTCTCTCATCCTTATCATCTTCCAATTTCACTTTTCCCCCTTATTTTCAACACCCCAATCCTTGACCTTCGGCCACTTTGCTTCCATGACATTTTGTCTTCAATTCGTACGCAACAACAGGGAGTCACTCCGGTCCAGACGAAAAGTTCATGTCTATTTGGAAGTCTCGACGCCCGTTAACACATCATGTATGCCACAACGTGCACATTTTGCTGCAAATCGGACGACAGCAGCACTTGCCCCTTCGATCGATATTTGCTGCTTATCGGAAACCCACCTGTAAGACCCGAGCTCTGCGTTCACTATAAGATCCCCTACATGTGAAACGGGTCATACTTTCCAACTACGTCTATCCGGAAGATGATGATGAGATTCTCGACTATTTCTCGCAAGCAGTAGCTTTCGACACAGCACCCGCAGAAGATTGTCATGGTATCTATCAGCCATGTAGGCAAATTGATCACATCGTGATCAGCTACCGCGGAAGAGGTTGCGTCTAAAAATTGTCGGGTTTCGTCAAAATCGCGACTGTATTGATCACATCGCCGCATACGTCAGTCGTTGGAGCACAGCAATATTTATTGGCAATGCATCGTAGTTGTGCTCCTCTAAGTCAAAGGTGCCCTGAATTCGGTGGATCGAGTTGCCCTTTGGAACTGTCTACTCAGGAAAGGTGTGCTCGGGAAACACGAAAATATTATCAGCGCGTTTTGCGCGCGTAGAACGGGTGGAATGAGGACATATGGCAACTTGTCGCCACCCTGCAATATCTTAAGTAGTGTGAGAGAGGAATACCCGCTGTCACCCTACTTTGTTACATTCGCCAATGACGAAGTCATGTAGAAGGCATTTAATGGGCAAGAAATTTGGAGCTGCTCCCTGGTGTTTAGCCTCTTGACTTGGAGTAAACCGACAACATTGTCTTAGTCTGTGACAGCTCCCAAACGTGCCAAACAGCATTGGATAAAGTAGCATTGGATGTCAGTCCTTTTGGGTTATGCTTTGCACCCACGAAATGCAAATTCCTCCAAAATTTGCAAGGACTCACCCCTGCGCGGACCCTTGATGGTTATAAGGCTAGAAGTCGTCGAGAAATTCACGTGTCTAGGCGCAAGTGGAATAGTGGATGAGATCATGAACCGTATAGCATAAGCTGGAGGTGCCGACGTGACATCACTCTCTTTGAAGAGCAGAGTTTACAAAGCAGCTGCGCCTTCAACCTCCTGCACGGTTGCGAAATCTGACGCAAGAAATCAAAAGAGGTAAAGAAGCAATCTAGCTTATGTCTGGTGGGAACACCGCAGGAGCAATGTGCGTGTTCGGCGTCTTGTTTATGGCGCAGGAAGAGCGAATGAACCGCACAGCACCGTTACATGCTGCGCTAGCGCCGATGACTGGGACACGTATTGCGCATGTCAGCATACGGACTCCCGCGACGAGCTCTTTGTGAGACCGAGGTCTGTATGGACTAGAAGGAAGCTTATTACGTTCGATCATCGCTCCCTTCACAATTTAGCTCATGTTCGGTGGGAACACCTAGTGAGCAATGAGCGTGTTCAGCGTCGTGTATTTGGTGCACGAAGAACGAGTGGACCGCTCAACATCGTTGTTTCACTCATCAGACACCGACGGCTAGGCCACGTGTTATGCATACCAACACACCGACTCCCGCATCGTGCGTAGTTTGGGCGCCCCGGGGTTTCGATGGAAGAAGAGGGAAAGGCTAAGCGATGATTTGGTCAAGAAAAATGAAGTCACTTACTTCGAAATTGGTATCGGTTGGTGTTTCCCGACTGCCAGGCTGCGGTCCAAAGGACGATGAATACGTTTGGTTGGATATACTAGCTGATATGGCAAGGAGTCGACCTTAATCTCGCATGTGTTGTAAGTCTCTTTGTCCCCCACCTACCTTTTAGCTTCCCCTCCAACAACAGTCTCAAACCCAATGCATAATGTGAGTTTAGCATTGTTACTTTTTTAGCTTTTGTAGGCTGTAATGTTTAATCTCTTATCTTTGTGTATTGCGGCACATTAGCCGGGGTATGTTCCTTACTCTCGGCTAATCTGTATCGATGACGATCAATGATGAAGGAGAAGAGAAAAGGTCAGGATAAATGGGGATGCTCACTTCGAAGTTGGCCTCGACTGGTACCTCGGCTTCCCGGTCAGGGTCAAATGACGATGAACAGGTTTGCTTAGGTACACTTGCTCAAATAGTGAAAAGCCGAACTCAGTGACTTTTGTGTTGTGAGTTCCTTAGTCCGTCCTCTACCGCTTAGCCTCCCTCATCAACCACGATCTCATCGTCGATGCTCAACATGAAACAAAGCATATTATATCCGTTTTGATACTTACCGTTATTTGTTTTTTTACAGCCCTCTATTTGAATTTTAATGCGGATTAATAACTGAGGTGTTTCACCCTTCCAGCTATCATGCAGAGCGATAGTGACAACTCAGATTTCCCAACCCCATAAGAGTGCTAAAGCGAGATGGACAATTGCTTGCGGGCGAAGTGGACGGGGCAATGACAGCTGTAATGATGAAACTGGTTTTCAGTTTGAAAGATCACTGTATGCGCGTTGCTTAAACATCTAGAAAACAGAGATCTGTGGCGACCGAGGTAAACGAACGCAATAAGGAAGATGGGGCATTGCGGGAAATGTTAACCTATCGCTGTCCATTACGAGAAAAGTTATTTAGTGGAGGCTCCCACTTACATTTCGTTGCGATCTTGGTGCAACAGCTTTCGTTTCTCTACGACTCATTAAAGTACACTTTTAAGAGGCACTCCAGTCAGAATGACCGATGATCAGAGAGCAAACGAATTTAGTCTCCTAACACTCCAGGTTACAATCGAAATTGTAATGGCACGCATGGCTTTTAAACCGGGCCATTGCCATGACTCCACAGCATTGTGATTAGAATTTTGAGCCAAAGGTTCAAGTTACAGGCAATAATCATTTCCCTTCCTAGGTTAAAATGCCTTCATACAACCTCAAATCTAGCACAGATCAGCCACACCCTACATTAGCCATGGCGATTCCAAAGAGTGATCCAAGCTGCGAAATACAGTAGGGAGGATGAGCGAAAACACCTTACCCTCTCCCTTCTTCGCTTCAAACTTCTCAATATCATTCACGACCATTTCATAACCTTCAGAGTAATGGATAACATGCACAGCACCAGTAGAGCTCCGTATCCAAAGACATATCCAGTACCTACTGGACTGTTGTCATTAACAACACATGATAAAGCAACGCTGATCCGTTTCTCTGACGGCGTACAAACTTCGTACCCAAACAGACTGCGACTGTACGCACGCTAGACACACCGAATGTCGACGTGTGCTGCATACCCGAAACTAGGACCAATGACCATTCTCACGCGATTCATGGATAGATTGTGTATAGCTTGTTTCCTCGCCGTTGGTCATACGAATCCGTAACCTATGATGAAGTAATCATAGGTCAAGTTGGTAGGGCATCAACTCTAGGGCTAAATCATCGCTAGTTAACTGTAC